TAAACCCTGAACCCTAAACCCTAAACCCTGAACCCAAACCCCAAACCCTGAACCCTAAACCCTAAACCCTGAACCCAAACCCCAAACCCTGAACCCCGAACCCTAAACCCTGAACCCCAAACCCTAAACCAGAGTGCTGGCCTCCGAGGGCGCAGCCTCCGACTTTCCTGAGACTCCAATATCCCTTAATTAAGGAATGTTCCTTAAATTATAGTAGGATCCTTAATATCATTTAAGGTATATTCCTTAATTAAGGGATATTGGAGTCTCTGGGTTTCCTGAACCCCCCCCGAGGCCAGTGGTCGCTAGCGGCGGCGCACTTAGCCGGGCGTGTTCCGATGTCGACATAATGTAGGGGCCTTCAGAATTAGAATAGGGTTTAGGGTTTAGGGTTTTGGGGCTCCTTTAAAGGGTTTCTATAAGGGATACTATAAGGGTTTAGGGTTTAGGGGCCTTAGTTTATTAGACTAGGGTTGTGGGGGTTCCTTATTGTAACTATAGTATACTATACCCCAAAACCCTGTTCTATTTTATTAAGGCCCCTAGATGATGCAGCGCATCGAGTTCGACCGAAGGATAGTTCCCACAACATACGTAGGCCGTTGGCATTTGGGCATATAAAACCCTAAACCCTAGATAATATAAGGCTGGCCGTCAGGAATCGAGCTCGGACTGCTTAGATGATAGAATGGCAATGGTAGAACCGGACAGAGGTCAAAAAGATATCCAGCGAGCCCCATACCCCTTAATGAAGGAATAGACCGTAAATCATACTATGAAGGCCCCTATAGTTTAAGGTATATTCCAGAAATTAAGGAGTATTGGGTTCTCTGGGTAGTTGGATCTCCGGAGCATCGGAATGTCATCTTTGCTGACAAAATACGATGTGCCATGTAGGTCTTCTAGTTAGTTAGGGTTTAGGGTTTAGGGCTCCAATCTGTTCCACTCTGCTTTTCATATTTTGAGCGCTGGCAGTGGCGCTGCCGGACTCCATGTCTCGCCATGCTATGTGCGGGCATCGCTCGCTGTACTGACGATATCCTGTGGCCTTTGCAGCTTTTATGCGGCCATGTACAGTGAAATCCCTGTATAAGGGCCCCATCCAGCGAGAGTAGCCTACCCTAAAGTTTTTATGATCCATTACCTCTGGTTTTGCCGGCCGAGTGGTTAGGGTAGGCTAAGGTTCTTAACCGCGTTCTTATCGAGATGCAGCGTGTATCTTGAGCCACGGTATCTTCTCTTACCTACCCTGCCCTACCCAGCCATGCACATCCCGTCGCGTTTCATGTTAGAGTTAGTGTCTGACACTAGTTCGGTTTTGCCCGAGGCAGGGCTTGAACCACTGCACGTTGCGTTATGAGTTGCGCGCGAAAGCCCCCATCTATGGACGCACTGCAGCGGACGTCTGTTTCTCCCAAGCGCTCCACTCAATGGCAAAATGCAGCCGGATCGTCCGCTGCGTACCCGGAAACCCCCAAAACGGAGAGTCGGACTGCACTTTGCGTAGGAAGGGTTCCCTTCATGCGCAAGGTACAGCCGGATCGTCCCACAACGAGTTCCACCCAACTAAAATGAAAAATCTGATCCCGAAAGCTAGGGTACCCTTTTAATTTTGAAGCAACCTGAGTTTTGTGAATCCCGCCGGGGGTAGGGGCTACGGTTCTTAATCAGTGGGTTCTTATACATGCGACCTTCGCTGTAGCTTGAAAACCTTCCAAAAATCTTGCAATCATACCTTGTCATGTGACCTGCATTTGCGAGCCGGTCCTATGAATTTCCATGCGAGCGACCTTACTGCAAACTTGCAAAAAAATGGGGGTTTCCGAAAATAGGGGGACCTAATATAGAACCCTAAGTAATCGGATCCTTATAAGGACCCCTAAAATAAGGTACCCTAATGTTCGGAAACCCCCAAATGAAGGAATGGCCTAAGGCCCAAACTACAGAGCCTTGCCTGGCTGTGACCTGAGGCGAGCCTCTTAGCGGATTCCCCAGCTCCAGGCATGCCGCTGTCAACCAAGGCGGCAGCTCCAAGAATTCCCAAACCCAGAGACTCCAATATCCCTTAAGGAGTATACCTTAAATCATATTAAGGATCCTACTATGATTTAAGGAATATTCCTTAATTAAGGGATATTGGAGTCTCTGGGTTCCCAAACCCAAGCGGGTTGAGTCCGGCAGAGTTCAGTCTTCCTGAGGCCTTGCTCGGGTTGCACGCAGCAGAAGCAGAAGTCACCCGTGACGTTTGTTGGGATTCCAAGTCGGACAAGTAGCTTCCCAGAGACTCCAATATCCCTGAATTAAGGAATATTCCTTAAATCATAGTAGGATCCTTAATATGATTTAAGGTATACTCCTTAATTAAGGGATATTGGAGTCTCTGGGTAGCTTCAGTGTAGATAGCGGTTGCGATGTCGTCCCTTCTTCCTCACATCAAGCCTTTGTCGAGGGTGCCGTGCCTTATGGTGTCTGGCTGCTATGTGAACCGATCTGATGAGTCTGATGAGGCCTAAGGTGGATGAACCACAAAAAAATTGGGGTTTCCGAGAATAGGGGACCCTAATATAGCACCCTAAATAATAGGATCCTGAAAATAAGGACCCCAAAATAAGGTACCCCTAATGTTCGGAAACTCCCAAATACCGGTGCTGAAGATGAGAATCGGTCGGCGCCGTGAGGAGGCTGCCGCTGCCCGGAAGCTGTCGTCGAAAATCCTCGGCACAGTCCTGCTCGCGTCGTCCTCGATGTTTTCGTTATGTGGTTATGTGGGGGTTTCCGAAAACAGGGGACCCCAATATAGCACCCTAAATAGTAAGATCCTTATTATAAGGACCCCAAAATAGGGTACCCTAATTTTCGGAAACTCCCAAATTATAGGGGCCCTAATATAATGATTTAAGGTATATTCCTTACCCTAGTTTTCGGAAACTCCCATGTGATGTTTTGGGGAGGTCGTCGCCCTGGACGGTGTGCGTGCGGCTGTTTCAGCAGCAGGCAGCCAAGAAAGCCAACTGCAGAAGGCCCGAATGCTGAGGGTTTAGGGTTTAGGGTTTAGGGTTTAGGGTTTAGGGTTTCGTCGTACAGTAGAAGACTCGTCCGGGAAGAAGGTGGGGTACTTCTGGTTCTGTTGGAGATGTGTGCTGGACGGAGAGTTGATATATTCATTGCAAATCTACTCTTCAGCTTCATGCTGCAAGACAAACCAGGATCCAGGGTTGAGGACGGAACACTGTCGAAGCCACGTTGCAGGACCAGAAAAAAGGGGCCCTGATATCTAATCCTGCGCAACGGGGATGCTGTTTCAATTCCCTCGAAAGGGGATCCCTTGTTCCAGCCCCATTTGCGGCAGAGAGGCTTTGTCGAAGCTGGCAGCGCGGTGCTTGGCGAACAGCGGTCTGGAAAGTGTCACCCAGGCCAGCGCTGATTGGCAGTGGGCATAAAGATGATGACGATCCTCATCATCATGATCATGATCCGCACCCTTATCGGCGGTGGCGGTGGTGATAGTAGCAGTAGTCAATAGTCCACAGTAGTAGTCGTTATCGTAGTAGTACTAGTAGTAGTAGTAGTTGTTGTTGTTGTTTGTAGTAGTTGTAGCAGTAGTAGTAG